CAGTTGGGAAATTTTTATAGGATACTCGGCAAAGACAGGGGAACAAAACGTACCATTCAAATTTTTTTAATGAACACTTTCATTTTTTTTTATCGATTGTACCAGAAAGTTACGTTTCTCTCATATATATATTGCATTATTCAGCTGCCAATTTTTCATCTATTAAAGAGTTTTTCTACTATGTTTTCTATTCTCTTTTTGAAAATCTAGATAATTGTTCTTTCGTTATCCATCTGTTGCCTATTTTTATCAACTAGTACGTCGATGTATGTTTATGTAGAAGTGTAGATGTAATACACTGAGGAAAACTTAGAAATCCTCCTATTTTTTTATAATTGAAAACAGACATTTGGCAAGCATAAGGTACATTTTAGTACTGTGTATGCGTTTGGCGAAAAGAAAAGGAAGAGAAAAAAACAGACACAAACAAAGAAAAAAAAGCGTCATATTAACATATTGAAACGTTTATCTTTCAATATGGTGTCAAAATGTTAACAATAAAACAAAAAAATGAAGGAAAAATTTTTTTTTAAAGATCAATAATTAGACTAGAAAGCAACTGTGCTCTAAACAACTTGCACGAAGTATGACTAACTAAACATTAAAGATTCTAGTACAAAAAAGTCAACGATAAATGATATTTAAATTACTCAGAGAAACCTATTTCGAGTAATATTTTATCTATATGGTACAGGTATACAATTTGTGTCAATAATTCTTCGATGAATATAAATCATTACATTTTTGTTCAAAATAAAAAAGATAGATTTTATCCTGCTGTGATTAATAGTGCCTACACAGAAAAAAGTATCGTGTTAAGTACTTGAACAATTTTTAGATTCCCTATTGTTTAATAATTTATTTTATTTTAATTTGAAAATAAAGTAAACGTTTTATTTTTTTAGATCATGCTGATCATATTTGTTTCAAAACTTATGTTCAAGAATAAAAAAATGTTTTATAGTTGTTAAAAGTCATTCAACTTTAGTGACATTTAAGAAAAAGAGTAGGAAGAACAACAAATAAAAGAGAAAAGTAAGACTAATGCGATTATGAAATGATTAGACTGTGAAAATACTTCGTTTTCAGCAGACAGATTCAAGATATTAAATATCCTAAATTCAGTGGAAAAAAAGGGTCTCACCGTTCGTTCTTATAATTGATATCTTTTGACTTACAAGTGCCCCGCGTGACTTTTTTTGAGCGATGAATGAGACACCGTTTCTCAATTTTCACGTTAACAGTAATCCCCAAAAGTACTCTGGGATTACCTGGTTTTTTACAGTGTACAGCTTTCATAGCAGAATACACTTGTAGAATCTTTTTTCACTTAATATTATAGGTCTGGAGGCCGAAGTTGTACGTCGTATCACTCTATTTAAAATGAGATGAAATTAAAAAATATACGTTGTTCTTTTCACATTTATTGGCAACATCTTTCTTTTGTATTGCAACATACGAACATCAGGCGTAATGGGAAATAAAAGAGAAAAGAAGAATTTAGTTTTGAAATGGCGTCGAATTTGCAGCTGACGTCGTACTCAACTACTATCATAGTTACATTTATCACGTGTGTGCGCGTGCATGGACATAATTACCAGCATTCTATTTAAACAAAGCCTTGGGATAGAAAAGAAATTAAACTAGTTGGCAATCACGTCAGCGAGAGTTGCGAATGGAGTGCGAAGCAGCTAAGTATGATAATCGGAAGAATGTGCTGTTTTCCAACCCTTTGGGATCCTGCTTCAATTTAAAAAAAAGTTTTGAAGTACTAAAAGATGCAATATGTATGAATGAATAAAAAGTTGGTGAGGACCTGTTCAAAAATTTTTTAAATCGGCCATCTCCTTAGCAAAATCCTGCGTGCGCTGTACAACAGTCGTAACACGTAACGGATGAAGAAAGTGTAGAATATCAGAAAATGACACTTTTTCGAAAGGCGCACGACGCAGCTGATTACTATTAATGCGGTTAGCATTATCATGATATGAATCACATAGTATGGGAATGTACTCTCTTATAAATGTACGTGCACATGAATGACAGATTAATTATCGGTTTTTTTTTCAAAAAAAAAACACAAGTGTCAGATGTTCGAGCGTCCTACCTCTCCACCGGGTCATCTACAAAGACTGAAAATAGCTTATTTATTAATTCAGACTCACAGTTCCCTATTCGTGTTTAAAATTTTACTGTACCTCTTCTAGTTCCCGAGAAAATTGTTACAGAAAATGACACTTTTTCGATCTAGACACGAAAGACGCTGTTGATTACTATAATGCGGTCGGTATTGCTTTGCACCGCATTAAAAAAGCCAATACTCTCTCTCTAATCGTCAAGTCAAAATTAATTATCATAAATTATGGCGATGATTATAACGAGAAAAAAACTTTAGTCGATAGATGAAGCTTATTAATCATAATGAGTCTTTTGTTAATTAACCATGACTCCTGTTGTCCTTCTATTTTTATTTCTCTTTTCTTTGTTTCTATATGTCTGAACATAAATCAGTTTCAACAACTAGAGCCCATCCTTCTTATCATTTCTGGTATATATCATTCGAGCAATATATATATATATATATCTTAACCATATACACGTTGACATTAAACAGATACTACACCTAACTGTCTGTCGTAAGTCATTAAATAGAGGATCTATTCATATAACAGATACATGTCTGTTTATTAGAAACATGTGGAGAAGCGTCGTTTACTGTATATACAGCATAAGATTTAAAAAATCTAAAGGAATGTTGATTGATACGATCTAAATAAGAAGTTTTTACCTTTTACTGATGTTTGTATTACATAAGAAAAGTTTTTTAATTTTATATACTTCAGGCATTTATATACGACATAGATACAACAATCGCATCGCAGTTGTTGGAAAAAAATAAAGAATAATAAATGAAGAAGACATGAAGTAGAACAGATGGTCAGGAGTTCTCTCTCTTTTTCTTTACATATGTATTATGTATGTCTATATTTTATTTCTATGAACACAAGTTTTATAGATGTTCGAAATCTCTCTCTCTCTCTCTCTATATATATATATATATTACAAAAAAGTAAAAACTATCTAGGGAACATGACCATCTGGAGAGATTTTTTTCTTCTTTTATAAAACAAAATAGTTTTTTTTTTTGTAGCAGGTATTCAATTAAAATAAATACAGTAAGATTATATGATATACAACGTTGTATCCAATATGTTTCGAGAGCATCTGATATAAAAAATATATATTCTCAGAATCCATTATAATCAAAAAGACAATATGTGCGCCTCATCAAGAAAATAAAAACTTGTTATCTTAAAAGTTTGTGAACAATAACAGTTGCTCACTGTTTTTTTGGTATTTTTACTTTTATTTAGTAAAAATGGTAGCCGATTGCTAGATCAGTAAAACCTCAGGCACAGATGCACGGATAAGTAACATTTTTTCTATCTAGTGCACATACAAATATAACCTTTTCTTTGCTTAATATAAAGAGGAACAGAATTATAGAATAGCGAGAGACTGATGCATACCAAAATCAAACGTCTTATCTTTTTCATTCTAATTAAAGACTATAGCTTACTTCATGTTATTCTATATCACAGTTTACATTTAATTGTAATAGATCATAAAGATTCTATAATTCTATTTTTTCTTTAATTTTTACGCGAAAACATGGCATATTTTTGTCATTATTTCTACCCATAGAGTCAGCATACTAAATTAATTATCACTTTTTATTCTCATCACAAAATGAACAAGAAGTAGAAGAAAAATATAGGTTTTTTTTGCTTTTTTTCTGACACAGATGTACAAGGTAATAGAAGATAAAAGATGTAACATTATACAAAGAAAATGAAACTCACACCAGATAGGTAATCATTTGATACGAATAAAGTGTCATGCATACATATAAACTGCCAAAACAGCAACTGTGTGAATGAAAAGTACGAGTTTGTCAAAGAACATATTGCGAATGAAATAAATACCAGATGGCAGACATCATCATATGAGGATTTTTAAAGACAACCACATGATCATTAGTAACAAAAGTCAAGGCCGGTAGTGATAACAGCCCACAAAACACATAAACACAGTATATAGGCTACTTTCTATGCTTGAAATCAAATGTGCAAAATTAATTCATACTAAGAATTCTCAATCCAACCGCACGGGAATAGGAAAATGCTTTTGTTGCAAAAGCAAAAATGAAATGGTCATTAAAGTTCAAAAAATTAGAAGTAAATTAGATTAGCCTACCCATTCGTTTGATCATAATGCTCATCATTTGTTTCGTTTGAAAAACTTTCGTTTTCATCATCTTGTTGTGAATCATTTTCGTTCATACATTCAACATCATTTGCTTCAGTTTTAATATGAATATTTGTCAAATTACGTTCACCACCATTTTCAGTATTTTTCGATTGTGTTTCAATTATATCCATAGTAATCGATGATGTTCTATTTTTTGTTATCATAATATATTTTTTTGATGTTCGTTTTTCGGCACATACGGGACATAGTGCGAGAAATCTATCAACAATCGATCGTGTTACATTATCGTAAGTTTTCGTTAAAATTTTTAACATAACATCACGTCGACAATGTGATTGACCAAAATGAACATCATACAATAAATCGAATATATGTTCACGAGTAATAATAGCACGACCAGTTGAACGACGACATAAAACTTTTTTTAACGATTTATTTGCTGATGTTTCATTAAAACAAAATTCACGGTTAGCCCATTTTATAAAATTTATATTTGTATCGATGTTTGTTTCGGATGAATCATCATTGGTATCGGATGTTGATAGATGATTTAATGCACGAACAATTGAATCAGCTAAACAAAAACAAAAACCTGCTGAAATAATGAAATAAAACGATAGTGTTCTTCTTCTTATGAGTTCCTGTTATGAACTATTGTTAGAACTCTCTTTCAAAAGGAATGTATTGTAGGGAACAGTTGTTTTTTTTCGAAATGCTTCTGAGGTGATATGAAGCACTCATATTTTCAATCGTGTACAATAGTATGCATGTGTTGCCTTATTTTGGATCGAAAAACAAACCCATAACGCAGTCTAAAAAATGAATTTCTCTACTGAATTTTACTTCTAACTGGATAAATTAGTTCAACAGTATTCATATTTGTACCAAAATCTATTTGACATTGTATGCTCTACTTTTCTTGTACCCATAATTATATTTCTTGCGTAGTTATGATGCATATTAAATTCAGAATCCATTACGCTTGTCTCATACTGTATAATATATTAATGTTGAACTATTTTGAATGAATTGCGATCGAATCATGCAGTTAATTGCTGCATGAACCTGACACATGAATTTTCTTCTTGAAAAGACAAACTCAATATAACCTGTTCTTGTAACCATCAAATAATAACACGTAAAATTTATGGCATAAATAGAGAAAACGCATCGCTACGTTTTAGCTTAAAAATATTTAAATATTTTTCTTGATTCCATAGTGTTAAAAAACAGTAGAAATGCAATTGGAAGCAGCATACGACTAGAGAATCAGCATTCCTGAAGAGTTCTAGTCCCATAAAATTTCAAATCACTAATTATGATAATTCATGACACTATAGTCCAAAATGGTCAAATCCATGTAGAACTCTATTGCCAATGTCATTGATTATGTGCTCTATAGACTACGAGTAGAATGTCAAATATAAAGATTCATTCACAACAAGATAATCTACGTAATTAACTATGAGATACAATAACCGTACCTAGTACAAGAAAAATTTTGTTCTATCAATCACGAGAGAAGTGAGTCAACTCTCTCATTTTGTTTTGCTTGACGATGACATGAACCTACATATAAATGACCTTGCATTGTCTGCCGCAAGTCATTCACAAAAAAAAGAATAGATACACAAAATCTCATCTTACTAATCGATCAATTTTTGTCAATCAACAAACTTTGAGTGTATTTAATTGTAATAAGTTCAAAAGATCCCAGATCCAATAGCATAGGAACCGGTGGAAAACGCTGATTTCCGCCTAGTCTCAATCTCCGAATACGATGAACGGTTTCGACAGTCTTAAACGACAACTTTCTCCGATCTCAGGTGGCAGTTTCCGACGGCCAGAACAAACTACCGCATCCAGCGCCGGAACTGACTGGAAAGGAACTTAAATGAATGCTTTCTGCAAGAATGTACTATTTTATGTTCTTTTGGAACCACTTGCTGTTCGCTTGAGTCGGTTTTTAACTGATAACACACCTCCCAATGGAATTACGCCAAACTACACTTGGCTTGCTTTTTCTTGGAAAACGTGGGATATCATCCAGATGAAAAAGTAGAGCCTTATGTTAAATAGGCCACACCAATTCTGGACAAAAAACGTTTTGCGGACTCTGGGTCACAAACAGACAGACAACGTCTGTACAGCTTGATTCTATTTTAGAGTAGTTACCACTACTAGATTATGTTGAAGAAAGCCTATCAACTAAAAGTTGAGCAAATCTGACGGCTCAGCTGCTTCAACGGGAGCGATTTAACACTCATAGAGACACTGTTAGTGATTTTTTTCTTGTTAAAAATCGGCAGGAAGTCTCTAAGTGATCTTCACAGTGTGATGCATAAGTGTGGCAACAGCTTCTCATCTTTTCTATAATATGAAACATTTCAGAAAGTCATAGAGTGTAAAACATGCACGTTTTACACCTGTGTTTACAGAGCAGAGCATCGATAAGTATATATAAACCTGATAGCTTGGTAGGATAAGCCACCACTGACCGCGGTTCGTACAGGATTACGCACTTTTTTTTCGTCCAGTTTCGGCGTTAATCTGTGCTGTTACCAGTCGGAAATGCACCAGATCAGCGCCGGAAACGACCGGTTCCGACAACAGAACGTTCATCGGAATCATGGACCTGGGATGTTAAAATTAGTAGTAAACTTCATTTGATCAATTAAATTATGGGTTGTTTTCGATGATATTCTTTTTGTCGAAAAATATTGTGAAAGAAAGGAAATATTACTTGAAAGCGATTAGCTATTAGATTTCAGTGATTTTAAAATTTCGACTATAGCAAAGAATTTATTATTTTACACAACTCTGTTTTCAAACGATTTTTTTACAAGAACACATTATATCGAAAGAAGTTACGACACATACCATATAGAATTCATATACGAATAACTAACGTTCGTGTACATGTTGTTACTGGGATAAATAAGTAGTTTTCAAATGGAAAATAATTTTATATTTCAAAACATTACTTTTTAACTTCTTAAAAATTATAGCTTTCTTGCATCTTCAAAAACGAGGCACCTCATAATGAGATAACGGAATTCGGTGAACTTTGAAATCTTTTTGTTTTTGATTTTATTAATCTTTTATCCTCCCCGTATGTCCACAGACGTGGACATTAGTGAACATTGTAGAATTGCTATAACAGAATGACGATGTGTCGCATGACAAAACGGATTCTTTTGTAACGTAAGCTGGTACTATAAGCTAGCGATTGCTATTAAGAAAAATTTTTTTTATCAAGGGTAGACAAAGGTATACGAGCTTTAAGTTCGCTTTGCATGATTAGCTGCCGGGGGGTAAAGGGTTAAAGTAATTTTATATTCTTTTTCATTCAAGATCTCTTCTATGCCCACTTTCACAGTATTGTCGCCTCTACATGACTCTTTTATAAATTATGCTTCCTAAAAAGAAAAAAAGAATTCAAAAAACGCTCATATCAACTTCTAAATAAGGATAGAGTTCTATGGAAATAATTCTTGGAAAAAATGCGCAAATAGTATTCAGTTAGCTCCCAAAAATCCTGAATTCAAGGATTCGAAATAGATATTTGTTACATTTCATTCCATGACTGTATATGGACGCATTTTACGAAATAGAATGATAAAAAATGTATTGATCAATGAGCACATTTAGACTCTATCGTTTTCTCAATATCAGATATTTTTCTTACCTTTATCAAAATCTGGCAAGAATGCTTTTGATGAATTTAATGAATTATAAAATATTGGCCGTAAATGCTCTTTAGTATAGTGCATTTTTTTTTTGTTTCTTACTTTCAACTACGCGAAGAGTTTATGTATACATACATGTACAATAAACACAGCGTGTACGATCTTATAATCTTTTTTTTCGTCAACAACAGTCGATAGTGTGCAAGAAAAAAAGAAAGAAAAAGAAATAATAAAAATGGAAACAGTTCTATGATTGTGTTTCTTATATCCCTATTTATAGATTTTTACAATCGTTGAGATATATCATAGATCTGTTCAACATAATATGAGATGGCACAAAAAATAAAAATAGTATTTTTTTTTTCTTCTTTTCTGCTACTTTTTTTCCGATAAAAAAAATAAGATCTTCCTAGTGAACCGCGCTGAACAAGTGTGTAACTCTTTCATTATACACACTATTCTTATGTTATACCTGTGTAAGTGTATGTATATTAGTGGAGAACAGAAGAAAAAAAACAAGCATCTGCTTTTCTCACTGCTATCTATTTATTATTATTACTACTACTACTACTACTACTAGTCTCGAAATGTCAGATGTGCTAAATTAATATGATTTAAAAAATAATTTACTCAAGTGGTTAACAGTTGTCTAACATCCAATCATAACTTTTCACTCAACTCATGTTGAGATTCTATACGTAGAACATCACCGAAATAAAACGGTGATAACATTCTAACGTATCTAGAGAAAGACAAACATATTGTCATAATTCTCTATGAATCACGCGAGTTTATTGCGGTTAAAAGAAGAAAAATCATTTTGATTTTTTAAACTCGACTTGTTTGATACTAATAGATATGTGACATATTCATAGAGAATTGTGACAATATGTTTGTCTTTCTCTAGATACGTTAGAATGTTATCACCGTTTTATTTCGGTGATGTTCTACGTATAGAATCTCAACATAAGTTGAGTGAAAAGTTACAGAAAGGCAGTCTCGAGGACTGCGCGCGTAGTAAGAACCAGTCCAAGTTTCCAAGGCTTGGGCTTTTCTGTAACGAATAAGCGGTTGTAAAACATATCTATTAGTATCCAGTCATAAGATAGTGAGATGATCTCGAGCTGAAAAATAATTTACTTTCTTAATTTTAAGTTATTTTAATCGTCATTACTGGCTAAAATATTCTAAGTTGATCTCGTTATGAAGAATAGAACATACTTTACGAAAAATTTTAATCTGTTATCTATACGCTTCATCATAAAGCGAATTGACAATTGACTACACAACATACCATATATCAAAAAAAACAATCTCACCCTATGTTTTTCATTTTTAAAGAGTTAAAGTTTGATCTATGATATAGTTGTATGTTACATTTTGGTTTTTTTGATGTCTACATGTTCTTAAAAAAAAAAAAAAAAAACAAGAGAGAGAAAGAGAGAATGAAAGCTGAAACAGAAGCACAATGAAAAATACAAAACAAAATCTATATTGTTTTTTTGCTCTTTTATAATATTCCAATTTTATTAATTATTAGTATTATCTTTTATCTTTTAGAAGAAGAATCTGAAAAAAGAAAGAGATAGAAAGACAAACGAGACAGAGAGAAAACAAACAATAACGCTCTCATTCTCTTGATTCTAAATATAGATAAACGTGCACAGAAATTTGACAAATGAAGTTTTATAATATAATATAACGCATGCACATACACAGAAATTCACATTTTAGGAACAGAATCAAGAGAAGAAAAAAAAAAAGAAGAAAAACATCTAAGTATATAATGATGAACATATGATTTTAAAAACGTGACGCATCTTTCTTTTTAAAATCAACATACACACACGCACACAGACATATAAAGAGAATAGCACGCACACACATTTTCTTTCTTTAGTTTTTTTGTTTTGTTTTTGTAATAAAATAGAGAGAGAGAGAGAGAGAAAGAGTTCTGTGTTAAATAAACAACAATAATAACAATAATATTTTTAGAATAAAATGAACATAACAAGATATTAACGACTGTTAAAATGCTTTAAATGGTTGTGGCTTATTTGTTTTGAACGATACTTGTAGAACACGATTACCTAATGTAAAACCGTTTAATGAATTGATTGCCATTAATGCTTCATCATAATTTGTCATTGTTACAAAACCAAAACCTGAAAATAAAATCAAAAAATAATTCATTTCGTGAATATCTAGACCAAATAAAATATTGAATTTCTTTATGAATAGAGATCCTTTGTTAACCTTTGCATTTTTGTGTTTGAAAGTCTCTTATCACTTTAACATTTTGTACAGCTCCAAATGGTCCAAACAATTGCCATAATACAGCTTCTTCTGTTTCTGGTGCAAGATTATAAACAAATATACACCAACCTATAACAATAGAACAAAATAAAATTAAAATGATTTTTAAAAATAGACATTTTTATTAAAAATATACCTGTTGAAGGAGGTAACGTTGTTGCAGATGCAGCCGCTGCCGCTGCAGCTGGAAGATAACTGGCTGTTGCAGCAAAAAAATCAGCCGGTGACAATGGAGAATATCTAAAGAAGATAAAAATACTATTAAGAAAAATATTTTTGCAACTAGAAATGAAAAAAATACATCAACACATTCTATTTATAGAGACGTAGCACAAAATTTTAGAAGAGCATTAACGATATAAATAGAGTGGATTACGTTAAAGAGAATATAGGACTACGTTTAAAAATACCCATACACTCTTTCAAAGCAATAATTTCAAGACACAATTACACAATAAAATATAAGAGATAGAATAAAACTCACCGATATTTTGATCGTTCATGTGTCTCCCTGTTATTTATCAAAATCGAAAATAAAAAAAAAGAACAAACAAAGAATAATAGCAGAGCATAAAATAAAAATAAGGCAAAAAATATACTCTATCGTACAAGAATTTGTCAATACAAATATGAACATTTTTATTGTACGAAATATAACAAAGGAAAACTATATATATAGATATATATATATGGTTTTTGATTTGTATAAGCAAAAGACAAAAAAAAAATATATATATGTGCAAAAATTTTTGAACAGCCTACCTGTACCTATTTAATTGTTGTCGAATCGGTGGTACAGTCGTTAAAACAGCTTGTTGTGCTGGTGCACCAGGTACACCAGAAATGTATGGTGCTAATGGTAAACCCATCATTGATTTAGCAGCATTTGGTGTATTAGCAAATTTAACATTAATCGGATCCGTAAAACCTGAAATATATATATTAAAAAAGTTTAATGTATATTGATTAATTTAAAAAATTGTTGATCATACCTTTTGGTATTGTTCCATTTAATTTACTAATTGCAATTTCAGCTTCACAACGTTGATCAAAACGAATAAAACCGACACCTTTTGAGGTACCTAAAAATAGTAAAAGAAAACAGCTCTCAAATAAAACGGGGCATACAATGACATGGTCGTATCGCGTGTAATGTGTTGGATCGTTGATTACAGCCAGCACATAAGACACATAAGACATGTCATTTGTATACACTTTATTATTTTGTAGTTCAAAATTCTTCATATTGAAGAGTAAAACTCGGTATTATTATTATTATTATATTGGCATAATAAACACATACGTGCGCAAACTGTAAAAGACAAAGAAAAAGAAAAAAACAAATATATAATGGTGAGTATAATGATAAGAATGACATAAAATAATAGAGAATCAATAAGCAACAGAGAGAGAGAGAGGGGCAAATAATAATTGCAAAACATACTTGTCAATTCCTTTAGATATCCCATTCCTTTAGTCACTTTCATATAGCAGAAGCAGCAGCAGGTCTAGGGTATGATAGAATGGGTTTCATGACTCTACGTAAAGGCACAGACTTTATATCCTTTTCAATAACTTCAAAGTTTTGCACTGATTAAATATCTACCATACGAATAAAGTGATTAACTCTCAATTTTTTCATCTGAACGCCTATTCTGTTAGTTTGCATAAAATGTGAGTTTATATAGAATTCTTATAACAATTTTTTTAAGTTCTTCCTATCAAGATCATGTCTCTTCTCTATATGTCTCAGTAGGGAATTTTACTCTCTCTATTCAGTAAAATCATAAAAAAATAGATAAAGTCAAAATGAAATATAAAAAATAATATAAAATAAAAAAAAGTACAAGATACCTGATTTAGGATCCGATAAAATTTTCGACGAAATAATAATGCCGAACTCCATAAACATACTCTCAAATTCTTCCTGACTCATTCCTTTGGAAATGCCCGAAACATAAAGATTTGCACCTTTGATCGAATCTGACGAAGGTCGAGCAAAAGAAACCTAAACGTGTAAATAAAACAAAAAACAAACAAAAACAATAAACAAATAACACAAACGAAAAATAAATGAATAATATAAGATGTTATGGAAAAAAAACAACAGAAACTTATATGAATGACTTATATGATGATTAGATATATTAAACATAGAATACAACACACAAACATACACACACGTTTCTCTCAATTTTTATATTCGTCAAATTCGACTCGATTTTCGTTTTTAGCATCACTACAATCAGAATAACAGGATTTAAAAGTTTTCTTTGTTTTCTTTTTCGTTATTATTATTATTTTTTTGCTATTTTCTCCTGCTCGGTTATTTTTATTCCTCAATTTTATCTTTATAAAACTATCAATAAAGTAGTAAATCCATCGCAAATACAAAAACAACAGCAACAACAACATAATGATGAAACACAAAAAAGAAAAGCAAGTGTGCAAATTATGAAATTATGATTTATAGAAGAAAAAAAAATATAAAAAATGAATAATTTCTCTTAATTTTTATAATATTTAAATAAAATATAGATATGAGCAGCAAAACATGAGCTGCTATTTTCTTTACACACTTATTTTGAGCATTAGCATTTTTTTTTTGTTTTTTTTGTTCAAATATATCTGACTACCTGTATTTGGATCGGTTAAAATTCGACTAGTGATAATTTTGCCGCATGTAGAAAAATATGCTTCTAATTCTTGAACTCGCCAGCCCTTAGGCAATCCACAAATATATAGATTTGCTCCTTTGATAGATTCGGAACTCGGTCTCGCATATGATACCTGAAAATTGTATGATTTCAGATACTACTCACTTCTCATAAAATAGAAAGTTTGAATTTTAGTTTCAAATTTTAAGAAAAAAAAATGGACAATTGTGAAAAAAAGGGATCTCTACAAATCAAAAATGAAATAAAAATATGGTCGTACTTAAGCAGAAACTATATATTACTTATCAATGATTATAGTTGTGTGTTATTTTTTTGTTTTTGTTTTAGTGAAAAAAAAACAAAATATTTTTATTGACACTTACTTTAATGGTTTTATTTTGAAGACGTAAACCATTCATTTGTTTAACAGCTTTTTCTGCATCATCTGTACGAATAAAATTAACAAATCCATAGCCTAGGCTTTGACCTAAAAAATAAAATAAGAAAAAATATGAATATAATTTAATCATTTTTTTTATGCTATTTATTTCATACCCGTTATTTTATCTCGAACTAATTTACAACTTTCAATAGCTCCAATTGATCCAAATAAATCTTTAATTTCATCTTGTGTCATTGTTTGTGGTAAATAATTAATGATTAAATTTGTTCGTGCTTTACTATCAGATATATCATCATCGGTTAAACTTCCTGAACCATGTTGTTGTCGATTATAATTAGCCATTGCTGCTGTCTCTTCACTAAATTGTAAATATTCTTCGTCTATATCGACTTCGTCTAATAATTCTAGTTGTTGTTGCTGTTGTTGTTGTTGTTGAGCGTAAATAATTGTCGAAACAGTTGACTGATTGTAATGTTGTTGTTGTTGTTGTTGATGGTGAATGGAATGATGATGGTTTTGATCGTGTTGTTGTGACGATGTGGGGGGCGACGAAGAAGGTGAGGAACAATTGGGGGGCTAATACCTGAGACAAAAGAAAAAAAAAACACATGGCTTTATTCAAATGGAAGATATTGTTAAACATGATTTACTAGACATGTAATTTAAATATATTCAATTAGAATGACTGTTAAAACAGTAAAACCTATCTTTCAATTATACGTGCGATTAATTGAATTAGATTAACACATTTATACATAATACTCTTACTATGTGAAGAGAATGAAAAAATATTTGATGTGGAAATTATTGAATAAGAATTACTATTTCTTTTTTCTCATACAAATTCTCATAGTATAACTCGTATCGATGTCATAAAATAGCTTCTCTCAAACACAATTTCTACTTAAAACATTCTTCTTCGTTTAGGATTATCGTTTCACATAAAGATTCTAAACACCATTAATATCATCTGATTCGATTTCTTATACTATACGAATATAAAGAATGTCCGATGATATTTCAAGAACGATAGACATTAACTTTTTCGATTTAATCTCTCTCTCTCTTCTTCTACATTTTTTTGTTCAATACATTAGACTCATAAAACTTATATATAATTTATCGACAATATGATCATTGATATACAAAATAAATTTTCACTCAAAGTTGATGTGTAGAATACCGATCAATTGTCTGTAAATATTTCAAAATTTCATTGAAAAATTCATTGAATTAATCAAATTACTGATAAAAAAAAATATAATGAATAAATATAAACTTAGAGTTACATGAAGAGAAAAAAAATTTTAAGGTAAATTATTACATGTTTAGGGTATCAGATTTAATCATTAGATTTTTTTTTGACAATGATTCAATGATAATCTACAACTGAAGAGAATGATAATTATTCTAACTGGAAAAATATATGATACAGTACGATCAACTTTACCTTATAAACATACCATGATCCAATCATATCTCGTGTTTTTTTTTTCCTTCAAGACCTTCTTCTACAAGATTTTCCAATATTAGTGGATATTAAAATCAGTAAATTTCTTTTCTCCAATTTTTTAGTTTTTGATACCATAATATTCTTTTTTTTTTTTGTTCGTTTTGTTTTTTCCACAAGAGACGTAGCAGATTCGGTTATAATTTTACAGACTGATGCCACAAAATCTGTTCCACTATTGTAAATTCAATGTAAAAAGAAAAAAAAAAAATAGGATGATTGGTTTAGAAGGAAAGTAAAGAATGCAGAAAAAAGAAAACCAAAATATTCGCCAATTAAAATATCAACCGATAAGTATACGATAATTTATATTTTTCGAGCTGAAAAACGTTTATCGTCATCTCTGTAAAATTGTTGTATGATGACAGTGAATTAATCTAATACAATGTACAATAGATTTAGTTTTTTTTTCAAGTCTAAATGTGATGTTTTACATCTTGTATGAGTGAAAGAAACATACGATTCTATTATTTTTTCCTTTATTTTTTATTAATGATAGTTTTATGTCTTAAAAATAACAATATAATAATGGTAAATATAGGTAAACGATAATTTCAGATATTTTCTTATTTCTATTGTTTCTATACAATATACGATATTATAAGTAAATGGTTATTATTAGGAATATATTTTTCATTCTTCTTTTTCATAATTATTTATTGATAATTACAGTTTCAATATCGTGCACATACACATACAATTGAAAAGAGAAAATAAATGACAATTTTTATGCGATACAATCGACTCATAAACATTAATCTCTAACTCTCAATATGTTAAACATTTATCTTTGACTAGAGTCGAAGATTTCTGAAAATATCTGTTAATTTTTTAAATAAAAATCAACAGATTCATATCAGATATTTACAATAATAAAAAAACAACAACTCATTCAATCTTTACTATTTTAGTATAAATATCAAATTTCGATTTAACTCATAAACATTAAATAATATTTTAATTCTTATCTAATAAACGAAATTATCTTAACAAAATTACAATGTTCAAAGTTGTGAATTTATTATTATTTTAAAACTATCTTTTCTCTACTCGTCTATTATCATATAATTTAGAATCTGTCTGCAAAATTTGAGTTCACATTGACTGAATTATTGGAAATGTTTTTCATTCATTAGCATAAACATGAGATTTAATGATAACAGAGAAGAAGAAGAAGAAAAGAAAAAGGGAAAGAGAGTAGGGAATATAATTTGAATACATTTAGAAAATCTCGTTTTGATATTTATAAGAAAAATGAAATAAAATCATTTGCTCGACTAAACTATGCATCATTGCTCAATTCATTTCCTATAGAAAACTTTTTTTATTTTTCTAATATATCGTAATCATCAAAGAAGAAGAAGAAGAAGAAGAAGAAGACAATTTTATTTATATGTATCTTAATCAGGAAGTATTTAGGGGTTATTTTATATTATTTTCTTATTTGACATTTACATAACAATCAACAAGACACAGAACAAAGAGATAGAAAATGAAAAATAGCAGAAGTACTATTTTAAATACTTTTAAAAAGGAAAATATTTTTAGATTTTATACGAAAATAGCAAAAATAAAAATAAAAATAATTAAATTTTATGAGATAGAATGAGAAATAAGCTAATTTTATAGTGAAAATCAAATTTTGTTTAAGAGTACAATTATGTTGAAGTAGTAATATATCGGTAAGTATTTGCAAAATTAACTTTTCTTTTCTCTTTTGTCATACCATATGAAGAATTTGTTTGACCATTCAACTGTGATTTTTTGTTCATAATAATATGAGTATTTAAATTTCTATACTTTGTCAATATCATTTCCAATTTTAATTAATGTATACTATACTATTCAATTATACGTTTTATTTATATGAAAAAGTTACAGTTTTTTTTATTTTTCTGTAAGTTAATAATGTGACAAAAACATTTGTCTCCAACATTTTTTGCCTTTGGTAATTTTTTATTAAGATTGTGTTGTCCTTCTTTCTTTTTTTTTCTTTTTTTTTGTCAACGATTTTTGACACATTTTGAATTCATTAGCTAAAATATGTCGTTTGTGTCTCATTGTATAAACTACTACTCGAACATTGAATTGAACATACAGACTTTGTGTCTGGATTCTTTTTTTTTTCTTTTTTTTCATACACAAAGAAATAAATAAAATCTCCTATTCTGCTTGTTATTATTATTATTATTATACAACGTACACGAATCTTGGCTCATTGACTTTCAACTATTACAGCTGTTTTGCTTGAGGGTATATATTCTGCATATGTATAAATATATATATATATATATAGTTGAAACCATACTTTGGCCCCATATGGGGTGATGTATATGTTCACATTTTCATCGTGCTTTTTTCATGTATATCAACGTATTGCCCATCTATATGTATAACAATCTTTATATCTTGGTCTATATTTCTTTTTTTTTGCGACAATTTCTTCACCTAAAAACAGAATTGTGTGTCTCTTTCTCTCTCTTTCGCATTTTTAGGTCATTGATAATTGTGTTATAATCATTATTATTATTATATCTGTATAATATCTTAAGTTTAACAAGATCTCGTTTTCTCTTCATTACACAGATTCTTGAAAAATGATTGTCTTGTGTGAGTGTATATAAATGTATTTCTAGAAATCGAATACATCGGATTATTTTTGACACATACACACATTATACGTCCAATTTGTCAATTTGAAGTTAATTGTTCTGCCAGATGAAGAAGTGTATTACTATTAAACACAAAAAAAAGCAGATGGCACACAAAATTCAAGTATTGTCACTTAAGAATATGAATACAAATATTAACAGTCAAAATCAATCTTTTTCTTTGTTTCATTGTGAATCTATTCAAAGTTTGAATCTAGCACAACTACTACCTTAATCTATGAATTTATAAAAATACACAAAATTTGACTATTTTCTTTTTTTGTATCTAATACAATTAGAATTAAAAATATATATATTTTTTTTTTTGAATTCAATCAGGAAGACCTCTTAATAAAATAGAGATAATACTCTACTGTGATTGAGTGTCATTTTAAACAAAAACAAAAATATTGATATGAATAGTAAGACAGACATACTAAAAAAGAAAACATTCAATTTGGAGTATACAATGAATTCTTTATTATTAGTCTAATCAAATAAAAATATACTCTTCTATTTTATATTTATACTAGAGGGAAATTGATTAGATTATCAACACATGAAAATCGAAACATTTATATTCAACAATTTTTGATATAATTCTTTTGTATGAAAAATGGATATAACAAAAACATCATACATACCTTAAGCATCCTCATTGTGATATTAATAAATAATAATATTTTAATCGAACATTTATTTGTTAAATGTCTGTCGTTTTTCTTCTTTTTCTTTTTTCTAACAAAACTATATACTCATACACACACATATATGTTTTTCATATAACAAACAACCAATCGATACTTTCTTCTTTTTTTTTTTGTTGTAGGAGATATATATATATATGGATAATTCAATGAGAAAGAGAAATAGATAGATAAAAAATAAAAAATGGAAAAAGAAAAGAAAATGATTTTATTTTTCTCCCGCTATTTTTTTTTCTCTCTCTATGTGACAATCAATAAACAAGATATTTAACATTGATTGAATCCTACTAAAACTTGTGTTGTCATCCTGTTGAGTGATAGATGTGTATATATATGTGTATAATAATAATAATAATAATAGTAATAATTTGTTTAATAATAAAAAGTACTACGTAATGACAGGCACAAGACAGAAAGAAGTTATCTAGAAATAGTGTTTTTATACGTATTATATCAGGTATAAATATAAATTAGATTTAAAACGATATCAACAAAAAAAGAAAAAAATTATTTTCTCTTTCATTTCTTTCTATATACGAAACCGTACAGAAGTGGATTTTCTTTTTTATTTTCATTTTCTATATATATATATATATATATACATGTATTCATATACACTTTCTTCTTCCCGGTTCGGTTTTCTTTTTTTTTTTAAGTTTATCGATGAATAAAAACAAACAAACAAGAGAGTAAGTCATTTGTTTATGGTACATTGACACTGTCTATAAGTAAAACAAGATGTTAACTCAATGATATACGAATGATGCAAAGGGTAAAAGATACGTTTTGATTTTTACTAAAAGAAAACAATTTTTTTCCCATTTAATAAGATTTCTCGAACTGATTATACACTGAATTATGTGTATATTTCGCTTAACGGTTTTCATCTGTCCTTCTGTTAACCAATGTTATTATCAAACGCTAAAAGCTGTTTTGCTAAAAAAAAAATGTATGTATTAGTAGATAGAAAGATGGCTCATAATTCATGAAAAGTAAGCTTCTATATTGGAAACCAAACATTGCCCTATCTCTTGAAAAGATCGTCTATTTGTAAAAAGATGTAACTTAAATTAGAAGAATAATGAGAAAATAGCGTTTTGAATACGGTTTTTAGAATAAAATGGGCACGGAGATAGAAAAGAGCATTTTGAATTAAAAAGATTGTTTTGATTATGGATTAGAAATCTTATTTTCTCATATTTTTACTTAATCTAGTTTAAAATAAAAAAAACAACGTTAGCGACATACTAATAAAAAGTATCAGCTTTTTTGAACGTTCTCTTCTATTGCCAAAGTCTTGTAAACTAGCAGGATCTACTACTCTGTAATGGCTACTGTGCTCAAAACAATCTTTTTAATTAAAACTGTCCTTGTTTCGATTGCTCGTGCTTATATTAATCTAAAAACAATGCTAAAAAAGCTTCATTCTTTAATAATATTAGTGTTAATTATTTTTATAACCAGTACCCCTAATGAAACTTCTCGTAATCAGGATCTTGGCAATACATCTTCTAAAAAATTTGAGTAAAAATCCTTTTTTTTACATCTACGACATGAATGTGAATCATAATCATCATACACGATGTACGAAAAACTAAATGTCTAAGAA